TGATGGGAGACGGAGGGGGTGATGGGAGACGGAGGGGGTGATGGGAGACAGAGGGGATGATGGGAGACGGAGGGGATGATGGGAGATGGAGGGGGTGATGGGAGACGGAAGGGGTGATGGGAGACGGAGGGGGCAGGGACTCGCTCTAGGAATTTAAATTTTGGCTGGGCAAGGTGGCTCACACCTGTAATTCCAGCACTTCAGGAGGTCAAGACTGGTGGATCTCTTGAGGTCAAGTGTTCAAGACCAGCCTAGCCAACATGGTGAAACCCTGTCTTTACTAAAAATACAAAAGAATTAGCCAGGCGTGGTGGCAGGCCCTGTAATACCAGTTACTGGAGAGGCTGAGGCAGGAGAATCTCTTCGACCCAGGAGGCAGAGGCTGCAGTGAGCTGAGGTCATGCTATTGCATTCCAGCCTGGGTGACAGAGTGAGATTCCATCTCAAAAAAATGAAAAAAATAAATACTGGAGCCACCTTAGAGAGGTGTGGGGGCCTCTAACATCTAGGGGGTGGGCCGAGGGGAGTGGACAGAAAAGTGTTTGGAAGAGGCGATTCCAGGAGCTGAAAGGAAATCTAGGAAAGGGGGAGAGACGTCGGGAAGGAGGGAGTCTGAGGGAGGGAGGCCAGGTTCAGTGAGTGTGGAAGCGTCCCCTGGCTTGGCCACGTGCAGATCCCTGGTGATCAGGAATGCAGAGGCCTTGGCAAAATGGAGAGAGACGGATGATTGACAGCTGAGGTCCCTGAAGCAGTGGAGAGATGGGATCCAGAGCCCAGGAAGAAAGAGCCCCCCTCCCCGCCCCTGGGAGCCTGAGAGGCCGAGCGGGCAGGGACACGTGGACCTGCTCAGAGGGACGGGGCTGGCTCTTCCCATCTGGAAGCCCCGGACCTCAGCTGCATCCCTGAGCCGACAACTCCTGTGCTCTGGGGCCGGTTTATCCACGTGCGGTCCCACACTTGCGGCACCCCGCACCTCTGCCCTCATACAAGCCCTCACACTGCACTCCAGCTGGAGGAAGGGCCCTCGCTCATCCAGCACCCAAGCCAGGAACCAGGAATCATTTGAGACACATTCCTCCACACCTTCCAACTCACCTTCCACCAGAGCCCACGGTTCTGTCTTCAGAACTTCTCAAACCTGAACTCTTTTCCAATTCTCTACTGGGTTCCAGATTCAAAACTGCCTGCTCCCAATCTCCGGCCTCCTTAGCCCATGCTCCATGTGGTCATCAGAGAGATCACTTTTAACATGCAAACCTGCTTCAGTCCCCACATAAAACCCTCCACTGCCTCCCTGGTCCAATCCCAGCTCCCTTATGTGACAGTCACGACCCTTTTTTTTTTTTTTTTTTTTTGGAGACAGGTTCTCACTCTGTCACCCAGGTTGGAGTAACATGGTGTGATCTCGGCTCACTGCAGCCTCCACCTCCGAGGCTCAAGTGATCCTCCTGCCTCAGCCTCCCAAGTAGCTGGGACTACAGGCACACGCCACCACGCCCAGCTAATTTTAATATATTTTTGTAAACATGGAGTTTTGCCATGTTTTCCAGGCTAGTCTTGAACTCCTGACCTCAAGCAATCTGCCCACCTTGGCCTCCCAAAGTGCTGAGATTATAGGCATGAGCCACTGCACCTGGCCAGGGCCTTTCTCGGTCTGGCCTTGTCGCCTCCCCAGTGGCTTCTTGTACCACTCCCATATCATGTTCCACGCTCTGCCCCATCTCTCCATCTGTAAAATGGGCTAATCACAATCCCTGCCCCATGGAAACATTAGGAAGGTGACATGGTTTGGCTGTGTCCCACCCACATCTCATCTTGAATTGTAACTCCCATAACCCCCATGCGTCATGGGAGGGACCCAGTGGCGAAAACCGAATCATGGGGGCAGTTACCGTCATGCCACTGTTCTCATGATAGCGAGTTCTCACGAGATCGCATGGATTTTTTTTTTGAGATGAAGTTTCACTCTATTTTTTTTTTTTTTCCTGAGATGGAGTCTTCCTCTGTTGCCCACGCTGGAGTGAAGTGGGGGCATGATCTTGGCTCACCGCAACCTCCGCCTCCCGGGTTCAAGCAATTCTCCTGGCTCGGCCTTCAGAGTAGCTGGGATTACAGGTGCCCGCCACCATGCCCAGCTAATTTTTGTGTTTTTAGTAGAGACGGGATTTCACCTTGTTGGCCAGGCTGGTCTTGAACTCCTGACCTCAAGTGATCCACCTGCCTCGGCCTCCCAAAGTGCTGGGATTACAGTCATGAGCCACTGCACCTGGACGTAGTTTTGCCCTTGTTGGCCAGGCTGGAGTGCAGTGGCACAATCTCAGCTCACTGCAACCTCCACGTCCCAGGTTTAAGCATTTCTGCCTCAACCTCCTGAGTAGCTGGGATTACAGGCACCCGCCACCACGCCTGACTAATTTTTATATTTTTAGTAGAGATGGGGTTTCACCATGTTGGTCAGGCTGGTCTTGAACTCCTGACCTCCCACCTCACCTGATCCGCCCACCTCTGCCTCCCAAACTGCTGGGTTTACAGGCGTGAGCCACCACGCCCAGATGACAATTGTTTTTTGAACACCTACACATTTGCCATGTAGTGCCTTTGCACGTGGCTGTTCTCTCTGCGTGGGATACTCCTTCTTCCTTTCAAAACAAACAATCTCTTGCCCATCCTTCACATCTCAGCTCAAATGTCCTTCCTCCCAGAGGTCTTCCCTCAGGCTCCCCATTCTTGAGGTGCCTCTCGTTGGTCATGCTACCCACAGTTGCATTTTTACCTTTCTTCAAGTCATCACAACTGAAGCCAGCGGGCTGGAAGTTTGTGAGGACAGGAACTGGGATGCCCCTCCGCGCCACTGCATCCTGGACCTGGTATAAATATAGATAGTGAGAATCGGTGGCATGGGGAAAGCATGAAGAACAGAGATTGGTGCTGGGGGATCTTCGAGAGGTTGTTGCCTTAGCTCGGGTGAGAAGTGGTGCTTGGAACTAGGGCAGGTGCGAGGAACTTGGAGAGAAGAGGGCAATGGGATTGACCAGGAGGGGAAACCCACTCGCAGGGCGGAGTGCAAAAGTTAAAGAGGAAAGAGGCCGGGCACGGTGGCTCAGGCCTGTAATCCCAGCACTTTGGGAGGCTGAGGTAGGCAGATCACAAGGTCAGGAGATCGAGACCATCCTGGACAACATGGTAAAACCCCGTCTCTAGTAAAAATTCAAAAATTAGCCTGGCATGGTGGCATGTGCCTGTAGTCCCAGCTACTCGGGAGGCTGAGGCAGGAGAATCGCTTGAACCTGGGAGGTGGAGGTTGCAGTGAGCTGAGATTGCACCACTGCACTCCAGCCTGGGCGACAGAGCAAGACTCTGTCTCAAAAAAAAAAAAAAAAAAAGAGAGAAAGAGGAAAGAAACATGAAAAGCAGCTCAACACTCAAAGACAGGTTTATTTCAGAGAATAACCCTGAGAGGGGCTTCTGGCCGATTTTGGTCAGGAGCATTCTCTCTTACAGACTAAGGATATTTAAGGGTTTTGGAAGCAGGGGGCTTATCATAGATTCAGAATATTTCTATGTGAGGGAAAGTTGATTGCAGGTTGGAATGTCTCTGGTTTCAGGGTTGGCATCTTTCTGGTTGGCGAGGCATTCATCTTGGGGTTAGAATGTTATGTTTGTGGTTATGCTGACATTAGCCATTAGGCTGATGTTTGGGGGCTAGATCTAGGTGGTTTTTTAATCAAGGGAAACTTAGACTCGTGGCATTTGTCCAAGATAATGACACTCCTGCTCCGTCACGGAGGACAGAGGAGTCGTCACGGAGAAGGAGGAGCTCAGGCTTGATCAAGTGGGAGGAGGAGCACAAGACAAGGCAGGGGTTGAGTTTGCCATCACGCTGTCATGCTGTCCCAGAAGGGGCTTGGAATGGAAGTGCGGGGCTGGGTGGAGGCCGGTTAGAATTCCGAGCGGAGAAGAGAACGGGACCCCAAGAGGGCACTACACAGAAAGAACACAGAGAGGCAGGGGCACGCCTCTGAAGCTCAGCTGCCTCCTCAGGGAGGGGGGCTGCATTGCCAACCTCCCAGGGTGATTCTGAGGCTGAATGAGGAAATGTAGGTATAGTCCCTAGCAGGCTGCCGGGCATGAAGTCAGCTCATCGTCATCATTTTTATCACACTTAACTGCATTTTCATGTTGAACTCAGGATCCTCAAATAATCAGAAAATAAACTAACCAAGTGACTTCCCTGAGGCCCTGAAATCAGCCACACCATTAGACGACTCCCGTCTGTGCCTGTTCTGAGGGGCAGGGACACAGGACCCCCGAAGAGGCTTGGCCCCACCTCCCATCAAGTCACCCCAGGACCCTCCTAGGGTTCCTCTCTGTCCCTGAGCTCTCCAACTCCCACCTCATTCATCTTAACTAGGCTCAGGAAGAACCCAGCTCACTGAGGAGGAGTGATGCATCAAATCAGGGCCCTGTGAGGCCACATGTGGCTCCTCCCCAGTCCTGGTCTCACGGGACAGCCTCAAAGTGTTTCATGTTTCTGTGTGATCCCAGAAGCAGCTTGATTCAACAAGGACGTGATTTGGGTGGGAAATGGAGGCTGTGAAGACAATGTCTTCTTTTTTTTTGACATGGAGTCTCTCTGTCACCCAGGCTGGGGTGCAGTGGCATGATCTCGGCTCACTACAACTTCCACCTCCCAGGTTCAAGCGATTCTCCTGCCTCAGCCTCCCAAGTAGCTGGAATTACAGGCATGCATCATCACGCCCAGCTAATTTTTGTATTTTTAATAGAGACGGGGGTTTACCATGTTGGCCAGGCTGGTCTCAAACTCCTGACCTCATGATCCACCCACCTCGGCCTCCCAAAGTGCTGGGATTACAGGGGTGAGCCACCACGCCCGGCCCACAATGTCTTTTCTGTGGCAGGGTTGGGGGTGGGGAATGCCCACAGAGGAGAGGAGGCAGCTGTGTCAGGCTGCAGAAGGAGCCCCGGGGACTGTCTTGGGACCCCAATGCAGCTGCAGAGCTGAGCTTTGCGCTGGGGTCTGGAGGGGCCTGGACCTGGTTCACCCTCTCAGGCCCTCGGCCTCTACCCTGCCACCTGCCACCACCGCCCTGCCATCACCACCCTGAGAAGTGCCAGGCTTTGCTGGGTTCTGCTCCCAGCTGTCCCCAGCCGGTGAGGGACAGGTGTGGTCAGGGATCTGCACAAGAGGCCCGGGCCACTTCTCCAGGGGAGCCCTCTTCCTCTCCCCTAGAGTGTGGGCTACCATGGGCACAGGGTGTGTCTGGGACCCAGGCTCCGGCCGCCCCAGGGCTGCCTGCCGAGGCCCGCACAGCTGACCCGCAGCCTTCCCGAGGCCTCTCCCTGCTCTCTCCGCAGTCTCGGAGTAGCCTGCAGCAGGGGAACGTGGACGGTGCCCGGAGGCTGGGCCGCCTGGCCCGAATGCTTAGCATCACCCTCATCATCATGGGCCTCATCATCATCATTGCCGCTGTGACCGTCAACTTCGCAGGTAAGACCCAGCTCCGTGGGGCGGAGGGAGCCAGCTCGCCTGGTTGAGGGCTGCGCAAGGGCGTCCCCAGCCTCGGGGGCAGAGGTGGTTCGTTCGGGGAAGAAGGGACGGTGGGGTCACGGCCTTGTCTTTGAACTCCAGAGAAAGGGACCCAGTTCCCAGCAGGGACCAGTGGAGTGGGGATGGGCGGCGGACTTGTCTTCTGCCTGGAGAGCAAATCAGGTGTGGGAAGAGCACAGCCTCAGAGTCACAGGCCAGGAGCTCCAGCCTCCGCTCTGATGGCCCTGGGGCCAGGCGGGTGTCCCGACGGCTGAGCCTGGGGTCCCACGTATCACGTATCCCACACAGCGCCGAGCCTCCAGCACACAGGCTTTGTGAGCAGCACCCGAGATAATGGATGTGACTGCGCTTTGTAAACACAGGCATCCCCGCACAGCCGCCGGGGTACACCAGAAAGCAGTGCATAGGCTGGGACGCAGAAAGTGACCCTCCTATGAGCACCCGCAGGCGGCCGGGTGAGGTCCTCCAAGCAGGGGAACCATTTTATTTTTTTTTTGAGACGGAGTTGCACTCTTATTGCCGGGGCTGGAGTGAAATGGCCCAGTCTCGGCTCACTGCAACCTCCACCTCCCGGGTTCAAGTGAGTGATTCTCCTGCTTCAGCCTCCCAAGTAGCTGGGATTACAGGCACCCACCACCACACCCAGCTAATTTTTGTATTTTTAGTAGAAACGGGGTTTCACCATGTTGGTCAAGCTGGTCTCAAACTCCTGACCTGGTGACCCACCTGCCTCGGCCTCCCAAAGTGCTGAGATCACAGGCGTGAGCCACCATGCTCCATCCTTGTTGTTATTATTATTATTGAGACGGAATCTTGCTTTGTCGCCAGGCTGGAGTGCAGTGGTGCAGTCTCGGCTCACTGCAACCTCCACCCGCTGGGTTCAAGCAATTCTCCTGCCTCAACCTCCCGAGTAGCTGGGACCACAGGCACATGCCACCATGCCTAGCTAATTTTTGTATTTTTAGTGGAGGCGGGGTTTCACCATGTTGGCCAGGATGGTCTCGATCTCCTGACCTGGTAACCCACCCACCTTGGCCTCCCAAAGTGCTGGGATTTCAGGCATGAGCCACCGCGCCCAGCCAGAGCGGCAGACCTTTCAATCAGTCCCGGAGCTAAGCAGGGAAAGATGTGCCAGCAGTTCTACGGCAGAAGTCCCAGGGCTGGTTGGGACCGGCTCCGTTAGGGTTGCATCCCACCCCTGGACTGGTCACCAAGGCCACAGTCCTCTCATTGGCAGGAGTTCAGTTCCTCTAAGAGCCCCAAACCGAAGAGGGCCCCAGTCCTTTGCCTTCCCTGTGACTTTCCCACTGCAAACCAGAAACCCAAGCCCTCCAAGCGGGACAGGAAGAGCCCACGTTCTGAGCGCTGTTCTGCCGTGATTGTTTTTTCTCTACAGTTCAGAGGAAATGAACGGAGCAGGGAGCTGGGCTCGCAGAAGCCGCCTGGCCACCGGGAGAGCTCTGACCCACGCCCCCCACACCACGGGAGGGCAGGGGTGACCGCCCAGCATCTGCCTGTCCCCACGCTCCAGGAGCACAAACTCGGCGGGAAACTCCGCGGTCCCCCACTGTCCGCCTACACCGAGGGAAGGCCTGGGGTCGGAAAGCCTGCGGGCGACTCGGTTTACTCTCACCGACACATCCTGGACGTCAACCCCAGCGCCCCGGCTCGTTTCTCATTCCCAAAACTTCCTGGGTTCTACAAGCCATGAAAACTGCCAGGACGAGGAAAAAACCCAGCGCCCCACCTGAGACACACCGGCAGGGAGGGAAGCCACAGAGTCCCCCTCCGCCCCGCCATCTGTGGACCGGGAGCAGAGATGTGGGGCCTCGTCCTTTGCATTTCCTCAGGCGGGGACAGAACAGACTGTTTCGCATGCTTCCTGCCACACGTGCGCTGTGATCCCAGCCTGGGCCCGGGTGGGCAGAGGCGGAGCTGGGCTGGCACAGGCCTGACCCCGGCAGGCACCTGGGCTGTGCCGCTCCCTGGAAGGAGGCAGCCGCCTCGCTTCATCCTCCGCTGTGTCAGTGAAGACGGGACAGGGGCAGGGACGGCGTGACCCACACCCCTCCTCCCAGACGTTTCAGTGTCGGGAGCACTTCTCGAGGACTCTGGTCCCAGGATGTCTCCCAGGAAAAGCCCGTCTGCTCCTCCTCCTCCTCGTGCCGTGGCCCGGGGCACTGACCAGAGCTCCCAGGACCTGACCTGGCCAAGGTCAGCCAGCGGGGAGGGCCAGGGTCTGCGCACTGGTCCTGCCGTGGCCTCTGCAGTGGTCTGCGGTGCAGCTCGCAGCCCCGGGCGGTGAGGCTCGGGGGGCTCAGACTTCCAGCCCAGCCCTATGCTCTGTGCTCTGAGCTTGGCCCTGGGCCCCTGGCCGTCCTGGAGGAGGTTTTGGGGCCACCCCTGGGGGGACTTCCAGGGGACCCCAGGCTGTCGGGGGCGTTTGTGCCACCTGCAAGGGTGTGGGCCAGAGCGTTTTCATGGGGTCTGTTGTTTCTCGACAGTCGTGGGACAAAGCGAAGGGCTGGGCTGAAGGCCCCGTCTGCACGGGAGTGGGGGGGCAGGTTTGGGAACATACTCGCGCGCAGAGCCTGGGGCCTGGACGCCACAGCCTCTCTGTCCTAGGACCTAATGCAGCCCCAAAAGGAGCCAAGCAGGGCCCTGGCCTCCTCCCTGGCTCCAGTGCCATGATTTTCCCTAGACTTCCTTCTCCCTGCTCCAGGCTCCAGCCTCAGAGACCTCTCCTGCCCCCGCCTTCCCTCCTGGTTGCCCCTCCCAGGTCCTGGTGAGGGTGCTCCAGGCTTTCCTGCCGCGGGAGGCCCCACCTCAGCCAGTCACTGCCTTCTGGGAAGGGTTCCCAGCCACAGCCAGACTGGCCCAAGGCTGTTGGAGTCGGTGTCCTCTGAGCCCCATCAGGACCCTCCTGCCGCCTCTCCAGGGCCCTTGTTCATCCCTCCACCCTCCTTGGAGGCCCAGGGAGGGAAGAGCAGGTCAGTACAGAGGTTCTGTCTACAGGGAGGACCCTGGGTCTGTGCACAGCTGGAGCTCTGAGCCTTCCAGACAGAGCCCATGTGACAGCAGATGGTGGGGGTGCAGGGCTTGGGGGTGCTGGGTTCAGGGGTGCTGGGCTGGTCCTCTGAGGCTGGTGTTCCTGCATCAGTCCCCCACCTGCGGAATAAACCCCAACCTCTCCTGGTCATACAGCAGGGATGGCTTGGGTTTTCTTTGCGGGATCTTGGAGGCTGAAATAGATGCCCCTACTTGTTGGGGGAGGGAGCACAGAGTGTTTGTGCCACTTGAGAAGTCATGTCACACGGGGAGACCTGAGGTGGGTGGAAGTGGCCTGAGCTCTGGAAGGAAGGTGATGAGACGGTGGTTTCCTGGCAGGCCCCAGGGTCTGCGGCCTCAGCCAGTCAGGGGAGGAGACAAAGGAACCGAGGCTTGAGGGACTGTCACAGGGGATCATGATACCAGGACTCCAGGTGCCCTTGGAGCAAACACATGCCCAGACCTTCTCACACGCATGCACAGGCTCCGCTGAGCACTCCATCACACACACACATACGCATACACATGCACACACACACACGCACACACACAGACTCCGCTGAGCACTCCACACACACACATGCACACACACACACACGCATACACATGCACACACACACATGCACACACACAGGGTCCACTGAGCACTCCATCACACACACACGCACACACACACGTACACATGCACACACAGACCTCTCTTACACACACACATACACACACACAGGCTCCGCTGAGCATTCCATCACACACACACATGCACACACACACACGCACACACATGCACACACAGACCTCTCTCTCTCACACACACACACACACACACACACACAGGCTCCACTGAGCACTCCATCACACACACACGCACACACACACGTACACAAGCACACACAGACCTTCTCTCTCTCTCACACACACACACACACACACACACAGGCTCTACTGAGCACTCCATCACACACACACGCACACACACACACGGACACATGCACACACAGACCTCTCTCACACACACACACACACACACACACACACACACAGAGGCTCCACTGAGCACTCCATCACACACACACACACACACACAGACCTTCTCACACACACATACACGTGTACACACACACAGACCTTCACACACACATACAACCTCACACACACACGCAGACCACACACGCAGACCTCTTACACACACACGTGACCTTCTCACACACACATACATACCTGTGTACACACACATTCACACACACCTCACATACACACAGATCTCACACACACACACACACACGCAGACCTCACACATGCAGGCCTTCTCTCTTACACACACACACAACCTTCTCACAAATACATGCACACACACACAGACCTTCACACACACAACCTTCACACACACACACACACACACCACACACACACACAGACCTTCTCACACACACACACACACGCACGCACACACATGCATGATCGTTCACACTGAGAACCCAGGGCAGCCGCAGGCCCTGCTTAGGGGAGGCCATTGCAGACGCCCCAGGAAGGGGCAGAGCCAGGACATGCTTCCACGCCGAAGAGGGGGACTGAGAGTTTCCTAGGGCGCCAGGGACAGAGCTCAGAGGCCCCCCAAGTGTGTGGAGGCAGCGGAGGCCCGCAGAGCACAGAGCAGGAGAAGAAAGCCATTCTGGACACCAGGGGACCCGGAGGGAGGGTCCCTGCAGCCCCTGCCCCATGCCTCATGGAGGCTGGAGGGGACAGTGGCCCCAGTGTCCCGGCTGCACCGTGGGTCCAGCCACCACCTGGAAGAACTGGTGTCCCAGCCTAAGTCACCAACCCAGCCGATCCCCGGGTCCCACAGGGAGGAGCAAGAACTCCCCCCACACGCCCTCCGCCACCTACACCCGTGACGCTGCCGTGCGTCTCAGCATGGAAAGGAATAAACCTGAGCATACACGCTCACCTCGGCCTGTGTGTTTGTGCTGCTGGGGTGGAGGGGGTTCCAAACAGTAAGAGCGCGATCGGCCCACTCCACCCACGGCCCCAGGGCCAGGCTGAGGCTGGGCAGCGGGAACCTGGCAGCGGAACCTGGCACACTGGGGCTCCATGGCCAACGCGAGGCGTTCCTCGGGGCAAGTCACCTGTCCACTCCGGATGCAGTTTCTCCAACTATAAAGCCAGGGGTGAAGCCAGTCTCAACTCCTGCAGTCCTTTCTGCACAGATCCCAGGGACAGGCGAGAGTTCAAGACCAGCCTGAAACGTGGTGAGACTCTGTCTCCCAGAAAATTTAAAAATCAGCCAGGCGTGGTGGTGCACGCCTGTGGTCCCAGCTACTCAGGAGGCTGAGTTGGGAGGATCACGGGAGCCAGAGAAGTTGGAACTACAGTGAGTAGAGCCGTGACTATGCCAACACACTCCAGCCTGAGCAACAGGGTGAAACCCTGTCTCAATTTTAAAAAGAAAAATAAAAAAGCAGGCCAGGCACAGTGGCTCTTGCCTGTCATCCCAGCACTTTGGGAGGCCAAGTCAGGCAGATCACCTGAGGTTCGGAGTTCAAGACCAGCCTGACCAACGTGGAGAAACCCCATCGCTACTAAAAATACAAAAGTAGCCAGGCATAGTGGCAGGCGCCGGTAGTCCCAGCTACTTGGGAGGCTGAGGTGGGAGAATCACTTGAACCCGGGAGGCGGAGGTTGCAGTGACCCGAGATGGCGCCACTGCACTCCAGCCTGGGCTACAAGAACGAAACTATGTCTCAAAAAACAAGCAAACAAACAAACAGCAGGCTGGGCACAGTGGCTCACACCTGTAATCTCAACACTTTGGGAGGCCGAGGCGGGCAGATCACTTGTGGTCAGGAGTTCAAGACCAGCCTGGCCAACACGGTGAAACCCCCGTCTCTACTAAAAATACAAAAATTAGCCAGGCATGGTGGCCTGCACCTGTAGTCCCTACTCTGGAGGCTGAGGCAGGAGAATCGCTTGAACTTGGGAGGCGGAGGTTGCAGTGAGCCAAGATCACACCACTGCACTCCAGCCTGGTGACAGAGCGAGACTCTGTCTCCAAAAAAAAGAAAAAACAGCAGTATCAGAGGGCAGGCTCCTGGTCCGTGTCCCATAATTTGCAGTCACTGTAAACCCACGTGGCAGTCCCTTGAGGTCACTAGCATCATGATCCCGGGGTTCACACTGGTAAGCTGAGGCTCGGCGAGGTTCGGGGGCTTGTCTGTATCCCCGGCACACAGAAATGAGTAACGCTAACCTGACCAGACTCCCAGGCCTGTCTGCCCCCAGAGCGGGCTTCCTGCTGCCACACTTTGCTCTCTGAAAAGGAAAAATCTCCTGGGGGGACAGTGAGAGTTGGCTGTGTGGGGTGGGGGAGGGGGCACTTTTCCAACCTGCAGGTGGAGCAGGTAGGGTGTTTATGGTGGAAGGTGGAAAGGGCCTGATGGGGACAGGCCAAAGGGGCCAGTGGTGTGGACAGAGCCACCAGGCTGGGTGGCCAGCCCTGAGGCCAAGGGTGGGGCTGAAGCATGTGAGAGGCAGCAGGGCTGAGGGCAGCAGGGCCTGGGGGCCTGAGCCAGCCCACCTGGGGTCAGATCCCACATGGCCTCTTCTGAGCTGGGTCCCCTGTGGGGACTCCTTAACCTGCAAATGAGACCATCCAAAGAGACAATCTGCGTACAGAGTCCCGGGCAGTCGGGTGAGGAGAGCTGCCCGACCTGGACAAAACAAGGCGCTGAGGCTGAGTGTTCGTGGGGA